AAACAACCCCATTAAATTTTAACTTCTCTGCAGTCTATGTCTGCAAACCATAATTACCAGAGCTCAGATTCTAAAAAGATAGTGGGTCATATCCTTAGTGCTGGAATGGTAATGAGCAATTAATACCTCAGCGTTAAGATTCAAGGAGTGAATAAGCTTTCATTCTCGTTTGTATGGAAATGCACATCTCAAATCCATGCAAATGACCAATGCAATTCAACGCTTGCAGATTAGGCAGATTAGATATGAAGCCTTTTGCAATGGGGAACTATTAGTTGATTGCAGGAAAGAACCAGTGAAAATCTGTAGCAGGATTTTGATATGTCAGTGACTATTCTGCTCAGCTGGATCACAATTAACAGGACTTCAGCCAAAGCGATACAGCTATGGATAGAGTCAAAGCTGTGGTGAAACAACTACAGGAAATAATTTAGCCAGAAAAAAATGTTGCAACCTACAGGTTTCCAGCTCTTTATGAAAGCCACCTCGATAAAGCCTTGCACTTATCTATCCTTTAAAGTTCCATGCTCAGAACTCACACTGAAAATTGCATCAAATACACATAATATAATTATGGTTTTACTGAACGTGGGACCTTTGATCTAACAATCAAAGACACCGTAGATGGAAGAGAGAAAACCAAATTACTACAACCAGAACACCGAAGAACAGCACACACAAGAGAACTTCCTTTCAGACACTTTTGGTTTTGTAGAGTAGTTCAGATTTCAAGTAGGCAACTTAAGAAGCACCGTAGCATTTGTTCTATTTTAGGGTAGATGTTGCCACATAACAGATTTGTTTTTAGATTAATTCAATGGTGATGCAAACTGCATTTACAGGAAATCTGAAAAAGTGATATGATTCTTTGTCCAGTGATGCACTGCATGCTTGAATTTCTACATGCAGCTATTTGGATTGCTACTAGTAAGAGGACAAGCGTTTGTGCTTTCAAATGCAAGCATGCAAAATGTGCATATGCTTGCAATGAATATTATCCTGCTGCATTTTTGGATTCGCAGTAAAAGGTGTTATGCATCTCACTACCACACACCATTTGTATAAACAGTAATTTCCATTTAAATCTCTACAACTTGAAATTTAGCAGTAGATACTGTCACTCCTAATGTTCCCTGTAATTGAAAAATACTATTATGAGATGTTAATCACAGAATGGTTTGGGTTGGAAGGGACCTCTAAGACCATCTAGTTCCAATTCCCTGTTATAAGCACTTGGCCTTGAATGCTTCCAAGAAAACACAGCCTTTCTGGGCAACCTGTTCCAGTGTCTCCCTCACAATAAAGAATTTCTAGAATATCTAGTCTAAATCTACTCTTTTCCAGTTTAAAACCATTTTCCCTTGTCCTGTCGCTACCTGCTGTTACAAAAGGTTCATGGCAACCTTGCTAATACTGATATTGACGCCGCGCTTACTGTCAGGTACAAGAGTAGTTCTGACTATGTAGAAGGGAACACCTGGAGAATTGCTTTTGGATTCCTGTAACTATTCTTCAAAGACAAATTTTAAAAAGCATCCAAATAACTGCAGAAGTTTAAGTGCCATTTTAAAACAACTTAGTGAAGAACAGAGCTCAACTTTTCCTGCTCAGAAATAGATGATATCTGTTTTTTAAGTTCTGTTGGAAACCCAAAATGTGTTACTCCTGCTTCAGCAGGGCTTACTGACATCTGTGGGAGTCTGATATGTAGGCACAACACACTGTTAAGAGTCCAGAGACAATCAATTTTGTCCTCACTGTGTACTCTGGATGATTTTCTACTGTGCCCTTGTGTAAAACTGAATTACCCAAGGGCAAATAAGCACTAAGCCCATCTGATTATCTGCAAAGTGCAAGCTGGGTCTGATATATCCAAATTAATGGCCAGCAGAAGGAACAGATCATCCCAAATAGCATTAGAGTCAATACAAAATTAAAGCAGTGAAATGAAGAGATATGGCACACAGAAGTTCTTGAGTGCACTGAGGACTTTTTTTCTGGATCAAGCTGCTAGGCACACCCTGCATTAAACCACTGGCATGCAGCGGTCTCTGCATATGGATTAGCAGTGGTGTGCTCACACAGCTGCGCATATCTGGTAAACTGCTTTTGATTTTGATTTTGGTAGCAATCCAGCAGTGGCCAGGTTTCTTGAGGGTAGGCTGAATAGTCATTCACAGATGTTTCAGGATGAAAAAAAAAAAAAAAAAAAAGAAGGCTGGTCACCGCAAATAAAATGATTTGTTGCTGCTGTAATCCTGCTTGGCTACATTCTCTGAGGGACCAGATAAGCGTTATCTACATGCCTGGACATGGACAGTTGCTATGTTAGCGGAGCTAGGAGCTCTGTCTGGGCACCGCACTGAGGCAGTTTGTGTCTTCTGGACCAAAGCTGGCTGCTGCCCAGACAGACTGAGGAGTGGGCAGAACCACCGCCTGCAACTGCCTGCACACAGCTCTGGCAATAAGTTTTTCAAAGAACACAGCACTTCACGCTTTTGCCTTTTTTAACTAACAGAAAACAGCAATGAAGTCTAAATACGCTGAGATTACAGACTGGATTTTGATTTTTTTTCTTTTTCTTTTTTTTTTTTTTTCTCTCCAATCAAGGCATATCATGTTGTACCCCTTCTAGTTACATTCATAACACCGCCTTTGTAGCAGTTTGCCAAAACAAAACAAAAAAATCTACAGGAAGGAGTCTGCAAGTAAGTTCCTGCCACCTTGATTCATCCCCCTGGCATTTATGTATTAGGAAACCATCGCAAAATACATATATTGTACAAGGCCAATGTTCCAGTTGGTGTACAAGATTAATAGATCCTACATACAACAGTATATTGAGAGGATACTTATTTTCCTCAGAGATTATATATATGTATATAAAAATATCTAATACTAGCGATACAGCTTCATGTTTCAGAGATTTAGAAAAAAGGAAATGGAATTGTTATTTTTGCTGAAAGTCTCCCTCCCTCCCTCAGATAAGCACAGCTCTAAATTCAAAAGAAGGCAAAACAATATATATATATGGCTGACTTCAATACATGGAAGTTAGATGTTGCCTACACTATAGAAAATCTCTTTAAGAAGCCCAAAATTCAAAACTATTTCAAAACTAAAGGGAATGTAGCTAAACGTTTAAAATACATGGTCACCTTCAAAAACAGCTGATCTACATATCTTTTAGGCAGCACCTGGCTTGGGAAGGGTTTAATTGTGTGATAAATCATCCCACGCACAGAATAGAGAAGGCCAGTCTTGGAGATCAAAAATCGAGCTCTGGCCGCTGCCTGCAGCTGCAGTAAAAATGTGAGTTCAGCAGTGCCAGTGTGCTGACATGCACACTGCTGTTTGTCGACTCCAACTGAAATTCTCTATTTTTAGCCTTTCAGCTACTTTCAGATAAAATTCCTGCAGATAGGACTAGCTGTATAGGTCAGATAACATACAACTCTGAAACCACAGATGACCTCATGCAACTACAAAGAAAGGTCTGTTACTTAAAACAAGGCTAAAATTTAACCCAGCTATACTAAAATTAAACAGGGAGCATTTTACAGTCCCATTACAAGGCATAAAACAACAGTCACCATAAATTCACAGTGCATTTACTTGTAAAAAGAGTAATTAATAACCCCAAGTAGATTATCTCTGAGGCAGCACAACACCAACGCTTTCTCACGCTCGCTGGAGATTTTACAAACACCACTGAGAATCTATTTTAGCTGTCATCTGAGAATTGTTTGTCCAAACTGAAAAGTCATTGTTCTTTGTCACAATCCACAAGACACATTTTGTCATGTCCCACACTTCTAGCTGACATTAAGGAGATAAAATGAATAAACATAACTTGAACTTTCTGGAATGAGCATCCATTTGTAAGGATGCTTACTGACCACAGACCCAAACAAGCAGTCCACGGCGATTTTTCTCTGTCCAAAATGCACTGTACTTTCCTGTTTTCTTCTCCACTCTTCATGTTTGTTTCCCTATATATCAAAAGGCACCTGTTTCCTTCAAAATGCCATTCATTTCTGACAGATAGAAACATATTCATGAGTGCTATCATTCAAGTCTATCTCACGTATTTAAAGATAAATGTATATGGCAGAATGGATATATCTCACACTAGATACAATACAGATTGAGAGGATCAGTTTGTGCCCATTGCTCTGTTTCACTCATAACTCTCTTCTGGTTTGCAGAATATTTGCCTGATATTTATTCACAACACACACATCATGAAGGTATCAAAGACTGCCAGTCGTGGCAGAAAGCATTTTTCCCACAACATACTTAAAAAGATTCTACTTTTCTTTATCGCAACATAGACAAGCCAACCACCCCAGTTTTCCTCTTTTCTACCTTAAAGCAATGACATTGTCTCTACCTGCCATCCAATCTTTCAAGCAGAGCCAGCGCTGAAATAAGGGGTCACATAGCACTTAATTGTTAATTTGCAATTACAGAATAAGTCTGATGTTTTCTGACTTCAAGTCACTTGAAAGGAGAAACTGTTTGTCACAGAGAATGAAAACCAGGACAGAATGAGGTTTGCTCTCACACTCTCTAAGGAATTGTAGGTGGAGTTATATAAACAACAAAGCAACGATCAAAGGGAAATCTTGGGACTGTAATATACCGAAGTATTAAAAGAACAGAGTCTTTTATCTGTCGTAGAGGAAGGAAGTAGAGCATTGAGACATGTGTAATAAATACAATTAAAAATCAAAAAACCAAGCAAGTCCTCAAAGAGACCGAAATCAATTAAAGTCTGTTTGGTTTTTTTTTTTCTTCTTCCCTTTTTTTCCCCCCCTTAATCTGTTAAAAGAAGAAGAACGAACCAAAAATGCAATCTACAACAAAAATTACACTCCATCACCTGGAAGAACCAGCCATTCAACTCTATTTTAAGCCGAGCTTTTCCCCTCGTCCTGTGAAAAAAGCTCTGTTCAATCACAGACCACACGTTCATTCACTGCCAGCCTCAGGCTTACCTTGTCCTCCACTCTGTTCAGCCTGGCACCAATCGTGTTATTCCCTCGATCTTTGCTTTTTTCTGTGAACAAGAAACATTTTCATATTAATATATGGTGTTATAACAAAACATCAGTAAGCCACAACAGGGTATGTATAAGTAGCCCACCAACACAGTGTAACTGAACACCTCTACCAGGCTGGTAGTTTTATTTCCGAAAAGCAGCTTTTTGTTTCTTTTTATAGTGCAGGCCCAAGCCACAGCTTTTAAGAGCCCTTAAGCTTAAGGCACTTTCAACCTTAGCTTTATGCTTTAGCCTGGGAGATCAAAACTGGTCCCAAGTTAGTTAACATTTTAATTACTGTTTAAAAGACAATTTGGCACTATGTGCAAAAAATAAGTATGAGCAACGCACTTGGACAATGTTTTGTCTTTTTTTCTTTCTACATACCATACAGAAAAATAAACTTGAAAATAACAGGGTTTGGATTAACCAGTCTTGCTGCTAAACAAACTTAATACTTTGGGTTCCTTTTCTACTTTCTTTTCAAAGATAACAAAGATGTATGTGAATATTATTGATTTCATAGGAACTCTGTATTTATAATACACCATTTTACTGGAACAGGATGAATCTCAGATAGATTAGAGTCATTATTTTGAAAAATCCAGTGAAAGTAGGTGCTATGGTTTAACCTGGCAGGTGGCTGAGCACCACGCACTTGCTCACTCATTAAACCCCTTCCCAGCGGGATGGGTGAGAAAATTGAAAGGAAACAAACAACGAAGTAGAACTCATCGGTTGAGATGAAACTATTTACTAAGAGGAAGAAATAAAATAAGGCAATAGCTATGCCAAATATACCTATATGAACATGATAACAAATGATGCACAAGCAATTGCTCACCACCTCCTGACTGATGCCCAGCTAAGCTCCTGCTCATCAGAAGAGCCAAAATTCTCACTCCCTTCAAAACACCTTCCACACAATGCCATCTAGTATGGAATACTCCTATGGCCAATTTAAGTCTGCTGTCTTAATCCTATTCCCTCTCATCTCCTTATACCCTTCACTGAGAATGGCCTTGACTCTACAACATTGCTTAGCAGCAACTGTAAATATCAGTGTGTTATCAACACTGTCCTTCTTCTAGAACCAAAACACAGCATCATACCAGTCACTCTGAAGAAAGTAATTCCACCTCAGCTGAAACTAAGACACCAGGTGCTTTAAATATCTAATTAAGAACAGCCCTATTTAAAAAGGTGTTGTTTAGGTATCTACAATATTTAGTTAGCTTCAGGTCACAAGTTTTTAAAATTGTTGCAACAAAATCAAAACTATTTTTAAAAGGATTTCCTACTAATTATATCTTCATAAAATAAAATTTAGGCATATTAATTTACCTGAGACAGAGATGAAAAGAGATGGCTTCCCTATGCATTGATCCAACCTGTAAACAAAGAAGAAAAATTTTTAGCTTTTATCAATCTGAGGTGATAAAGTGATATCAATCTTCATCTTCTGGAGCTGAATGGGAGGAGACCTCTTCACAAACAAGCAACGTGGTTTGTACAGCAAATGAACCAGCATTAGACTTTAACGGTCTTCAGCTTTCTTTAGCAAAAGTGGAGTTTTACCTTGCCCACTGCTTTTTCACATGAACAGAATTGCTGTTTCCTCGATTTTTGGGTCTACTGTAGCTTACTTACAGCATCCATCTATTCTCTCTTTGTTTGCTCATAAGTGTAGTTCTACAAGAGCAGGCAATGTTATTTCACTCTGTACAAGCACATCAAGGGATTATGGCCTACAGTCAGAGTAAGCTTGGTCTGAGGCAATGCACACAAGTATAATCAAAACAGTAAGTCTCAGTTATCAGATTTTTAAGCTCTCTGCCTTCTTCATCTTCTGTAAAAACAACGCTTTATTTGAGTGACATTTCTGTATTCTGTGAATTTGCACAGTCTTACCAATACAGCATTTGTAATCCTATCAGTTGTTATACCTTCTCTGTAACTCCTTGATTCGCACCATCAGGTTGAGATGACCCTGGGAATACTGCTCAATAACATCTCGGACATCGTATGGCTTTCTAGCTTGCTGTAAAATAAAAATCAGAAACAGATCAGTAAGCTACAAAGATATATAAATATTCCACGTGAATGTAATTTATTTTCCAAAATCAAGAAGTAAATTCTTCTAAACCCATTTAACATTTTATTAAATTTCAGATAATTTGACCATTGTATGATCATATATTTATTGTGGAATAATTATGACAATTCTGATTAAATCCACCTTTTTTTTTTTTTTTGTGACTGCACGTCTACATAACTTTTGGGAGATTATCCATTAAACTTGAGGCCAAGAAACTATGTCTGCTACTTTGCTCAGAACCTTGTGGTCACCTTAGAGCATCTTCTGGAAATCAGTTTTATACTCATCAGCTATTAGCCAGTAGAGAGCTCTTTTGCAGGTGTAAGCACTTATTCTCAGCCTGAGCTCTCAGTTCAGTTCATACCATGTGAACCTTAAACCACAGTATTGGTTGAAGGTGCATGACTGATTTCCTTTTGCAGAAAGCCTGGTTCAGCTTTCTAATCTACTGGGAAATATTGGGAAAAGACCGGGGCAAGAAACAATGAGAAAGAAAGCCCTGGGTTTGAAATTTGTATTTCATGTATGGGGAGATCTTAATCCAACCTATTAGTAATAAAAATACTTTTGTGAATTATTAAAGGCAAAGATCATTTTTTTTCCAAGAAATATTGTGACTAACTGGGAAGTAACTGAATGAACCTGTCAAAGTGTAGTAATAAACTCAAAATATCTTAATCCTACTGTTAGAAACTGAAGCAGTGATGCTCTAACACAACAGAAGGACAGGAGTAGGGTCCAATCTTCCCACGTCAGACTGAATAGTAAGCAACACCTGACATTACAGAAGAACAGAACAGGCTAGAATGGAGTACAACAGAATACAAGGTACAGCATTCAAGGTGAAGCCACACCAATGCTAAATATAGCAGGAGAATCACATATTGTAACTGGCTGGTTACACTGTGTTCAGCACACCCCAAAAAGCAGTCTTCTCTCTTGGCTTTCAGGCCCCATTTCTGGCTCGTGTTGAGACTGCTGCCACCAGCACTTCAGGCCCCTTTCTGCTGAGCTGCTCTTCAGCCACTTGTCTCCCATCTGTGCATGTGTCTGTTGTCATTCCATCCCAAATGCAGCATTTGCATTTATGTCTGTTGAACTTCATGCCACTTCTGATTGTCCAAACAGTCAAAATCACATCTTGGTTTACTACTGTCAGCAAATCTGCTGATGATGCAGTCAACTCCTGCATCCAAATCACTGACAGCAATGTTGAACAGAACCATACTTTGAACTGAGTCATGGGGAATACTGCTAGTGACCTGCCACCAGCCACATGTAGCTCCATTCGCTTCAGCTCTTTGAGTTCTGCCCTTCAGAGAGTTCATCACCCAGGGTAACAGGAACCTGCTCACAGTAAGAACATTTATCCAGAAGGATTCTGGGGATGGTATCAAAGGCCATACTGAAATCAAGAAAGATTAGATCCACTGCCTTCTCTTCATCTAAGCAGGTGACCCTGTCATAGAAGGATATCAAATTACTAAGGCAAGACTTTCCCTTCATGAACCCATGTTGATTATGCCTAATGACAGCTTTGTTCTTTAATTGCCTTTCTGTAGCACCCAGGACATTTTTACGTATCTTTTCTGGGTACTGAACTAAGATTGACAGGTCTGTTGTTTCCTGAGTCTTCTTTTATGCCAATCTCGTGTACAGGGGTATAACACTGGCTAGCTTCCAGTCAGCAGAGACTCCCATGACCTGCAGTAAACTGTTGAGAGGGTCCAGCTTTAACGTCTGCTAATTCCTTCAGTGCTGTGATATGAATCCTGTCAGGCCCCTTGGACTTACAAACACTCAGTGGATACAACTGGTCTCTTACAATTTTGGTGGCTACAAATGGAGAGTCATTGCTCCCCATGGACCCCTAAACCTAAACCCTCTACAGTCAATTGCCTGGGGACACTGCTAACTAGCTCCTTGAGTAGCTTAAAGTTTGCTCTCTTAAAATCCAAGGTGCCAACTCTGCTGACATTTTTCCTCCCTACACTAAAAATGTTGAACTCAACAGTTTCATGACCACTGCTTAGAAAATGTTCAAGGTTAAATGAAAACCTGTTAATTCTCAACATCATCTCCATCAGCTGAAGTCATCCAAAAAACAGGACTGAAAATTTCAGGGCAGGCTCCAGTTTAATGTGGGGAAAACTTCCTATGATAAAAATGCATTGCAGTGCACTTCATTTCTTGAAGAAAACACTTTTTTGTATGTTCTGAAGGGGACAATTTCCTATTTATCAAGTTTAATATCTTTGCTTTATCACACTCCCTTGTTCAGGTAAATGAAATACTGGATAAGGACCAGCTTAGAATGGCAGTCAGTCCATTTTACAATTAAATTACTTTTGACATCCAACTGTTGTCTTCAGATACTGCCTTAAGAAGTTTCAAAAACTGCACATCTTCTGAAGATCAATTGTTCTGCACCTAAATAATAGCTTTTGTTAGTCTCCTGTTACATTTTGCTCTTATTCCACCTGCTCTTAAAAAACTAGAGTTCAGCACTTCATCTTTAAAACTCTCTCTTCATATATTTACTTTTTCAGTAAAATATCACTTCATTAAGCAAATTGCATTTCAGTCTGCCAGAATCTCAGAAACCAATTGCAAACCTTGGGCTCATGTGAGATACTCACTGATTTGACCAAAGAGCACACAGGAGTTCCCAGGAAAGCCATGTGCTTACACACACTGCAATCATAACCGACAGCCACAGAGAAAGAAGCCTGACCCAACAGTGGCATAAGCCCAAAGTCTTGTCCACAGGCTAGTCCTGTAAGTGCAGTACTATCAAAACAAACAAACAACCCCTGCCCCTGCCCCCCCCCCCCTCCCCAAATCTTTACTATCTTCATGTGATAACCCAGCAAGGGACAGATCTGCAAGATCAGCTCGAAAACTTCAGGTTCAGTAAAGCACTTTAGCAGGAAGAAGCACGAAGAGCTTTATTCTGCCTTCCATACTCTGCAGCAGGAGTCTGATAGTAATTCTAAATAGGTTACTGTCTGGTTTCTGTTTACCATTTAACAAAAACTGAAAATGTGGAGTAAACATAATTTATGAATGAAGTTCAGTTTCCAAGTCTGATGGAATATTTAATAGTCAGTACTGATTATTCTGCAATTACTTCATAGTGAAAGCTGACCTTTCAAGAAAAAATACTCATGCTGCTGCTGTTGACAACAGAATTTGTTAGTTCTGTAAAAGGAAAAAAAACAACACAGCAGACAATGAATGAGTATTGAAGGAAAACGTACAAGCCAGTCCCACATGTTTCCTTAGCTTCTTTCCTCTCCTTTATTCCTCTCCTAATCAACTTATGGTAAAGAATTTCCTAAGTGAGAAAGACTTTCTCTCATCATATATGAAAATTTGCACAAATCACCAACGCCAGCCCCAAATAAGAAATGCACACAAGTGCCCACTGCTGTTCCCTTGTAGCTGCATTCACAGAGAACTTTCCCAAGAGCCAGACCAGGGAGAGGGGAATCCCTGCAAGGGTATTTCTGGGAAATGTAACCAAGTAACAGTCAAATAAAATGGGCTTGGGATCCTTTGAAACAAGGACACTTTGAACTACATTGTTTGCTACAGCCCAGTGTGGAGATTAGGAAAGATTACACACATACAACTCATGATTCATACTGTGACAAACAAATTTCATATGGTGATGTGTCTAAATGCAAGATTTTCCAGTGAAATCATAACAAACCAGGCAACGGTTACTCATGTCAACTGGTGGGACTCCAAGCTGTATCTTTAGTTTATTCTATGTACAGAATACTTGCCATGGTGAAGAGCACAAAACAAATTAAAAGCGTGTTTCAGAAGGGAACTAAAAAAAAATAAATGTTTATAGTTGACAATGGGAAATCAGATCAAATCCCTGGTCTCTGGGTCTTTTCTGGTGGATGACACAATTGTATCCATGTGCATAAGTCACAAAACATTTAGGAACTTTCCTAATTGGAAAATAAATGTTATTTACCCATGAACTCAACCAGTGGAAATATCTAACTGTGGTGATTTGCTTTCTGAAAAGCAAATCTAGAACGGAGATACTTGATTTAGACCTAATGTGAAATTTACTTTTGTGTAGGAGGGGGGGACAAAGCCCAGGAAACCATTAATTTCTAAATACTGTCTTCCCTATAATCTATGGAATCCTTTCATAACATTGAGCTGTTCATCTTCAGTGATGCACAAGACTTGTGTTTACTACTAGTAGACCTTTCCTACATAATTTGAATGAGTCCCACAGACATTGCAAGCATTATAGCTCATTTACAAGAGCATAAACACATCCTTAAAAAGGGCATTAATTCTTCGAAATGTTACGCTGGGTTCCTACACGGGCATCATCATATGGACTGTATTCAGACCTAGACTTTAAAATACATCATAAATTTGTCCCCTTCTTTTAAAGAGGAAATGATTTGTATGTGTGATGCTTCACATAGTATTACTTTTCATGTCCTTTGAAATGCCTTTGTTTAGTTTCAATTTGTTTTTAATTACCTTTTTTTTTTTAAACAGGAAGTCCCTGCTTTCTAACTGACATTTGTCCTTGTGTTGTCATCACCACTTGTTATTGATTGAGGTCTTTAAAAAAACGTATCTGCACAAAATTAGACATACAGGTGTATCCTGCAAACAGCTGGTACAGTTTAAGAAGCATGCTGGGTTCATGCTGAGACCTATTTTGCAAAATTTTGCTCTTCCTTCCCTTCTTCTCATTCTTCCCCTTCCCAAAAACTTTGAAGGCATCTCTAGAAAATTATCCTTTTAAGTGCTGACCTTGCAATTAATTCTTCCAGCTTACTTTAAACATTAGCAGTCTAGTGAAAATATACATAATTTTTTCCATAGGTAAGGGAAAAATCTGAATTTACTGTTAGGAAGCTACTTTTCACAAAGTTTCAAAGGCAACTATCTGCCAGAAAACAGCTTCTATGTAGAGCTCTGAAAGATTAAGTTTTCAAAATGCATATTCTGCTTTACCCTAATTTCAGGTATTGTGTAGGACTGGTTAACACAAAGCGTATACTTACGAAAATGTTTAAACATGTGCCAAGTAATTTCTTGTGATTATTTTATGAGCACATAATAGAACAAAGCAGATTTACAACATACATTTGAGGAAAGAATAATAAGAGTGGTTATCTCCTAATTACAGGAGAGGTTTCCAAAATCACCTCGTGGCTAGAATTTCAAGGTGATTTTGTGCATTAGGTTACTTAAGTGCTTTTGAAAACTGTACTTTTGGTGCTCTCCACGTTTTTAAACTTGGTCATGACCTTGTATTCAGAAATTATGGAAAAGTATCAGGTATCTCCCTATTGGAAATCTTAACTTCCAACAGGAACAGAAGTATATCATTTCAACACAGTAGTGACGTCAGATATTTCACTTTATCTTAACTTAGATTGCTGGTTCATTACTAACAGCTCATATTAATAATTCAGGAAGCATAAGGACTACTAAAGAAGGATAAGAGACAACCTTGTTGAAGGGTTTTGTAGACAGCCAGGAAGAGGTCTTTTGCAGGTGAGAAAGTAAGAGCACAACTGAGAAACCAGCTTCGTAAATGGGACACTGAATACAAACAAGTTTTGAGTAGGAACTGAATAGTCCCATTCTATTCAGTGAAATGCTTTTTCAGCTTCTATCAAGTCATCTGCCGCAGGGGAGTTTCATTTATTTGCCAGGTGGATAATGTTGCACACAGTGTTCAGGCATTTTCCAAATCTGTTTTTGACAATCACCACCTGGGAGGTAGATATGTAATGTGTAGATTTCTTGTTTCTAAATAGCTTTGCTAATGCCATGGCAAATATTTTATGTTCTGAATTTATGGGAGCAATGATTCTGTAATTACCACAGACCAAAGAATCGCAATCAGTTTGCAGAATAAGAATAAACCGAAGTGTAATGAAATTGGCCACATTCGTGCTGTTTTTCACTGAATAGCAATGGACGCTTCACTGGAATGGGCCACATCCCTTTCCAAGTTACAAGTGCTGACCAGCCAGCACTAAAGAACTTCTCAACAAAATAACTACAGAAATTATTTTCCAGTAGCCAGGTTCCATGGCTTTCTTAACTTTAATCTAAGAAAAATGTTAGGCGAAATCTGCTAGCAGAAACTTTCTGAAAGTGTTCCCATCAAGAAAATCCCTATCATGGGAGGTTTCAGCCTAAACAATCTGAATACTTTATCCACAACTGAATGAAATTTGGGGAAATATATGGCAACCTTAGCTATAAATTCACTCATCAATTTTGGGGAAAAAAAGATTCACAAAAGAAAATCACTAAAAAAATTCAGGTGATGGTTCTAAATATTGGAGCTGAAGTCAGAATCCAGGCTTTGAAGCAGCAGCAAGCAGCGGTTTATAGAAACAATGCATCCATGAATAGTTAATTACCATCATTTTTTAAATTCCTAAATGTTGTGCTCTTCATACATTTGAAGGACAAAAGGTCCCTTCTCATCACAACCCTTTTTTTTTGGTGTAGATTAAGGGAAAGCTTTTCAATCTCTTCCATACAGCAGTGCCAAGTTTATGCTCAAGTATGCATGTGGGCAGTTAAGCTCTCCTCTTTCTTTGCATTTTCAGCTGTTGTGCCTGTTCTATGGAGACTGTCCCTTATTAATTCCTTTTAAGTCAAATTATGTATTTCTTATATACATGATATATTCACCTGGTTCAAATCAAGCTGAAGGCTATTGACACGTGTTTTCATGAGATTAACCAAATTGATTTTAAAACCACATTCATAGAAAGTTTGCAGCCACAAATTTTCATTCGGACCAGGTAACCAAGTAAATTAGTTACTGCAAAACACTCATTATATTGCAATATCCCTGCAAGAGAAGAGAGGGAAGAGACACGCTGGAAATGTTTGTTGGTGGGGGTTACAGAAGAGAACAGACTGTCACAAGTTGTGAATGCAAGCATGCATTAGGGACAATTGAAAAGGATGCTAAAACCTTCCAATCCACTAGCAAATTTCCATTCCAGTTTCTTATCAGGACTTCAATATAATTGACTAAAAGACAGAAATAAGGCTGAGGTAGTATTTTAATCTCTAATCCTACTGACTCAGCATGACAGTAACATACAGCTCAGAATTAATGGAGACATATGAGAATGTTTGCACTGTGAGAAAGAGGCAGCGATAACGGAGGGTTAGAGGTCAAGTCCATTAGCAGAAAATAACATTTTAATTCAGACTGCATTTCAGGAGTTTAGCCTATTTTCAGTGTGTCCACAGTTGACTAGCCTGCTGCTAAACAACTACTCTATTCAAGTAGGGAGAGAATAGTGGGTGTAGCTCTCCGTTACTGAAATGAATTGTGTCAGTCTCTTAAAGTTTCTAAAAGAAACAATGAAGCAGGAGAGTAAGAGGGCTTATTAGGAAAAGCAGCTTTCTATTCACTACTCACCTGAAACTTTTTCTTGGCCACAAAATATTGCATTCTTCGAATCACTTTAATTGCAGCACGGTGATGTTCTCTCAGCCTGAGGGAAAAACAAGGCAGGTGAGTGAGGTGAAGGCGCATCTCCTTCCAAATGGTGAAATAGCAGCCTTTAGTAAGGCCTTCACCAACATGTGGATGTGTGATGTAATGAGTAGCAATTCATCCAGTGTGTACAACACAGTACTATTTCGACCTTCCCCACCTCAAAGAATGCCATAAAAGTCAGGATTTTATCTGCCCCACGTTAGGTTTGCATACATGTCACAGCAAGAAGTGTTCACTTAACCTCTACGTCAAAACAATCCTCTACTCATCTTTCCCAATTCAGCCATGTACAGCTTTTGCACACAATTAGAATTCACGTTTTTCTTTTCCTGTCACTAAGTCTTGTACAATACATACCTACATGAAAATGATTTCAAAAATGATTTTAGAAATACTGAAGATTTTCAAGTAGTTGTCTGCTAAACAATCCAAATGATCCCGCAGTAGCTGAATGCAACCTCAGTATACACATACATCCCCAAAGTGAACTGGAAATGTACATAAACACAGACTAAGCCTGCAGGTCTTTAAACAAATGTATCTCCCTCTCATGCATATAAAAAAGATGACAACTAAAAAAAAATAAATGGCTATTTGTACAACTTTTCATACTACCTGACAATATTATTTTTCAGAAGGAAATGTATGTATGAAAGAAACCTGTTTATTATAGGAACAGTCATTTGCCATCTTTCATAATTTTTAATGCTTGTAAGAAGGACAGTTTTTTCTTCTTGACATTAACAGTGCCAAATCTAATACATAAAATATCTGTTGATGACTTATTCTACTTGCTCACTCCATTACTATTCTCCAGATGCGCTAGAATGTCATTATTGGCAAGCATATGACAATGTTTACTTCTTTTCAGAAAGCCTGGAACCTCCAGTATTTTGAGTTTTCCTCCCAAGTAGACTTCCAGTGATGGCTTAAGCACAGGAGCAGACAAAGCAGAACTGGTTTTACTTAGATATTCCACGTGTTTTTCCTTCATACATTGTTAGTAACAAAGCTGATAGGTATGAATATCCCTGTATTGAATATGTAAGTCTTGTAAAAGCTTGGCTATTTAGTATATTATAGCATGGTATTACCTAATTTGTTTTAGTTAACAGTCTGAACTATCAGTGAAAATTCAGGTAACTCCTTAGGACAAACTTCTCTCAGCAAACAGAAATTTTGCATGTGCCAATGATGGACATCAGTCCTCTGAAAATATGGCAAGAGGAGCCTTTGTGAACACTCATACTTTTGAGTAGGAATGAGTGAGCTTTCTCCAAATGCAAAAGCCAAAACCAAGACTGAAATACATTCATTTCCTACATGTGCATACTGCCTCTCAGCTGGTGTCTAAATAAAATAAATAAAATAAAATAAATAAAATAAATAAAATAAAAAAAACTGCTTTCTCCTGATACACTGTACGACAGAATAGCTTTTCAAATTAATAACATAAGCTTTTCAACGCAGGCCTGCTGTCCACTACGTGCATTTACACAGAGTAACTGCACCTCAATGATTATGCATTGTTCCCCAAATCTGCAGTTGGGTTTGTATGGGAGGCCCTTCCCTACTAATGCTTACTGAAGGGTCTCACAGAGACTCTGTCCATGTCCCCTCTCATGCACGCTTGACTGCAAGATTGTGGCTCATGTTATAAGAATGGGAATTCACTTATAAGTGGGCCAGCTGCCTTCTTGGATCCACTCCCAGTGAACTGAGTCAGCTCAATGCTAGTAAGTGGTATTCCCATTGCGAGAGCCCTTGCTGAATCACTGCTCAGGACAGGGGCAACATACACAGAACCAGAAGGCAATAAGGAATTTATCTTTTTAAGTCCTACTTCACAGAGTTAGATCCAGAAAGATAAATGCTGCTGAATTTGGTATTAGGTATTAAAGTTGTGATAGCGTAACCTTCATGCAGGTCTGCATACATAAATGTACACACAACACCTTATGACAAATAGAAATACACTTCACTTGCAATAAAACTGCTTGTAGCGTTTTGTTTTATGCTTCATTTCCTCTGGGGTGTCCTTCACAGTCCATTATTTGTAAGGAAAATACTTTTCTGTGGGGCACACGGTCACCAGTAAAGTACACCAAATCCCTCATCCTCTGTCTCAATGCAGAGGATCATCTGTACGCAAGGCAGCAGGACAATAAAAATGAGATTCACCATTCAGTCACATAACAGTGCTACAAGACCAAAACGATTTTCCAATGCTGCAATTTTAAATCAATCCTTTTTCAGTGCTAACATGAACTTCAGTGCCAGGAATGGAAGTTAATATTTTGTTCCTTTACATTTCCAACTGCAATAGGAAACCTCACAGTAAACTTCTGCTTATGCCGTAAAATCTAATTCTGCCCAACAGGCTGTCCTGCTTCCCTGAGATTAAATGCTTCTGCAATGAGGGAAGGGAATAAAGCATTTAATTAGTAGCCAAGGTTATGATTCACAGTTGTTTGATCTCTTTTGCAAACTGGTAACAAATGCTTCAGTAAATTGAGAGCTTAAACATTAACTGGCAATATTTGTTTGTTCAGCCACTCGTGACATCTCTAAATTCTACTTACAAAATGACTGCCTGCAATCTGGAGGGACATACAGAGTCATTGTATGTGAAATAGCTACACAATGCATTATTATCCTCCAAGCAAGATCTTCATGAAGACTGCTTTATGTTACTGAATTTTAAAGGAGCGTGGAGGGAAATTACATCATCTGAGAGTGCTTCTAGGCACAGGGGCAGCACACTTTCATGGTTCACGATCCACGGAGAAAGCGGGGGACATCCTCTGGAGAATTACTGTTGCACAGAACACATTTCCAATGGCAGTGCCAGGTGCATGTCACCTCCTTGTTCATGCTACAGCTGGGCCATCAGGAAGAACACTACTGTTCAAACGTTTAACCATAAGCCATAAGGCCAGAAACATCCACTGTCCTGTCTCGGACCAAGACCAACTGCTCCTTGTACACAGCTTACTGCACAGCCACTAACTGCCAATAGCTTTCACTGGCTGCCCATGAACTTCTGTTCAACATAAATATGACGTCAAAATAATCTTCAACACAGCATATACTACCCAACACTTCTAAAGGACTTTAAAAATTAATGAATAGAACTGCCAATGAAGCAAGAAAATTGTCAGAAGCCATAGGAATTATCTAGAAGTATTGCAAAAAATATTACAACTAAACAAAAACAGAAAGTCATCCTGGTAGTAGCAGGGTTGATAACTTCATACAAGCCCTAAATTATTCCTATTCTGACACTTAGAAACTAGGTTTGTTTTTTTCTGTGTACTGAAAAAGTAACCTGCTGCTGATGTGGTCATTCTGTGAAGCATAAGAAATGAGGACAAAGGAAAAAACACAACAGGAAACATGCAACAAAAGGCAATGGGTGACTTGAGCATCTGCACTGTAAGAGAAAGCCTGACAGAATAAAATGACTAGAAATCATTAGTTTTTCTGCCTTCTTTTGTTGTTAGATTACTAACCCTACCACAAACCATTTGGAAGAAACCTGATCACTTCATTAGTCCGTCAGAAATCTGGACTGGAATTTCAAATAATTTGGAAAACAAGCATGCTGAAGAACTTAAGGTACTTTTACAAACATGCTTATTTGGTTGGAAAGTTATATATTTACAAATGCCCCAAACTATTGTAAAAGAGCCATTAGCATTGCAATGTTATTTATTTTTTACAACATATCCAAAACCTCAACACAATCCCAAAGGTATGACTCATTCTACAGTCCTGCATTCACAGACAGCCACAGTGATGACCCTAGACTTCAGCCAGCATCCATCCTCATTGCAGGTTGCTGTCTCAATCCTGCAAAGGGACCTGCAGGGGTTCCCCAGAAGAATGCTTATGGGGCCAACGCTGAGATTCCAAGAATGAATGTTTTCTTCCTACAACACCAGCCAGGAAGTAAGCAGTTACACAGTTTGGCTGTTTCACATTTCAAGAAAAATTAAACTTTTTTTAAAATAAGAAGAAGCTTTATAAGATTAATCTCTAAAACGCACGGTTCTTTCATTAAAGAATAAAATAGGAAAAATATTTAGTAATTGGGTGTATTTATTGTTCTTACAACGATGCTGAATTTGATATCAAATCCTTAGTAATCCCATTACAAGTTTGGCCCCCTCGTCATCTTAGAAAGGTATTCTAACTATTGATTTAGTGCTAACAGAAATACTGAATCAACAATTCAGAGGAAAAGTGGTGCTAATTTCCCAATTAAAACACTTGTATTTTGTTAGCTTGTAAAACATCTTATTTTCAGGACCATAATACCTGGCACAGACATCCCCGTGTACAAGGGCATCGATACCATCAGAGTTAAAAGGTCAACACTGCTCAGAATGAGTTTAACAAGAAGGAAAACTCAGGAGGAGAGAGCTACAATATCCTTTACAAATACTCTCTTCTCAGTAAACCCAACACTGATTTGAAGTCAAGCTCAGTTTTCAAATATATTTAAATTCTCTGCAGTCTTCTTAAATTTCCAACTAAAGACAGAGCTGAAGCATTAAGAACTATGGCTGCAGTTGGTTGCCTTTAAGTTTTTGGCACTAATCATTATTTAGACTTGAACTTTATCTTTAACACATCAGATTTTAATAATATTTTTTGCATGTGAACTGAAATCTTTTTCCATTCAGGCACTGAAAATTGCTCCTTGTAACAAAATCTGGTGGAAAAGATTCAGAGCAACTACGTTAGGCCATTTCATTAGTGCATTTAAGTCTAACAAAATCTTTCATCATTAGCTCTCTGGGGGCTTTTGGTATAGAATTTGCTGTGACACAAGGTTATTCTTGTCTTTTCACACATTCTGTCATTCCCTACACATTACACTTGATGGGAGCCTCTGTTATTGGGCAACATTTTATATGTGACGAGTTGGAATGGATCAGGTTGCACTGATGTGTGTCTTGCAATGGGAAATGCTTGCTCACCATGCCCAGG